ACACACACACACACACACACACACACACACACACACACACACACACAGTGTTTGGCTGCACTTAGCTTCACACACACCCACTGATGATAACCATTAATAACCATTAGCCAGGATGTCACAGAATTTTGTTAAATAACATGTTCAAGGGCATTCGCAGCTCTCGATGCCAACGCTCGCATCTACTCTACTTCTGTTCTCTCAGTGCTGGTTGTGCATGTCCACCTGCATGCTACTTACAATATAAAAACAGCTTGTTAAACTCCATAACGGCGCATACATATTAACAAGAAACCGGCGCCCGTGTTCTTGGGAGTGTCTACTTTCTTTGGTGTGTTTACGATCCCTTGGCATCTGTAGAAAAAGAAGGGAGGTGTAATCTTTCTTTTGGCAGACTTGCCTCCTCCAGGCCCCCACCGGACCCTATCAGCGCCCGGCTACACCGCCGCCACCCCGGCCTGTTTCTTGTTCCACTATGTGGACACACAAAGACCTTGTTTGTCCTCCCTCTGCCTGCCCTCCTCCAAACTTATCACCACCCAAACGCCCAGCCAAGAGGGGCGAGGGAGGGGAGAGATAAAAGGATGAGAGAAAAGGGCAGGGGAGAAATTACATGTAGAAGTGCGCGGGAGGGAAGAGAGAAAAACAAAAGGGGGGGGGGAAGCATACGCTGACATAAAGATATCACAGGTGGCGTTGTGGTAAACACAAAGTGAGAGAGGAGAGCATCCATCCATCACCGTCTCTTCTTTAAATGTTATCTTTTGTGCTCTGCAAGTAAGGCCTGGAAACAACCAGGGTCCTGAGACAAAAGCAGCTGCCAGTGCTGATGAAGAGCGGACAGTGCTCTTGAGCTGTACTTCCCATGCACACACACACACACACACACACACACACACACACACACACACAAGTGAGTGTGTGCAGGTTAGGAACATGTATACACACAAACACACACAAACTTGAGGAGAGGGAGATAAGGCTTTCAAGCTGCGTTTCATCCACACAGGAAAACGTATGAAACACATTTAACACATATCAATCTGCATAATTCACTATATTTTCCTGTAACACATTTGTAGCAGAGTTTCTGTCCCCATGCACCTTAAAGTTATGTTTACTGCTGGCAACAGTAAACACACAGGACCACCTATTGACTCACATTGAGCCACTCGTACGCCCATCCTGCTGTGACCTGTGACCCTTCAAATGACGGTACATCTCATCTCACCTCCTCTCGCTGCCGTGCAGAGTTCTGTGGTTTCAAACCCAAGGAAACACTGACACTCTCACATTGGTGCTTGCCCTCATGCGTGCACACATGCCCACGCACACAGTTTTCATGACACACTTCATTGCAAAAACATAAGAGGCTCATTAGCCTTTAAGCCAAATCCAACTCTCTCTTCACCCACCTCTCGTCATTACACACACACACACACACACACACACACACCACAGCTTTTTATTATTACCCTTGATGAGTATGTCCACACACACACATATATGCACAAGACAATTTGAAACATGCTCCTTGCCTGGGAAATGCTGTCTCCACATTCTTCAAATCAGGAGCTGCACATGGCAGAGGAAATGTGGTGGAGAGGGACAAAAAAACAAAAAAAAAGAGAAGAAGTGGGGTGAAGGGGGGGGGGGTATATTCTCACACAGTATGTCCTGGGGTTATTCTCTCCTCTCTACCTCCTCCTCTAGCCTCCCTCCTTCCCTCTCTCTCTGTCTGCTATTGCTCTCCCACTGCTCCTTTCCAAATCCGTCCTCCTTCGTCACCTCACTCCCAGAAGCTCCATTTCTCAGACGACTGGTACTCTTGAGCGGTCGGTGGGGGGGAGGAAAAAATGGAAGGTGGCACAGGAGGGCAGTGGGTGAGGGGGAGGACGGGAGAGCGAGGACTACGATAGTCACCTCCCGTGCGGTCAAAGCGGCAGCGTCAACTCCTTTAATCTCCAAAGAGGGGGGGGGGAGGGAGGAAAAAAAATTGGATCTCTACTCGTCTTCAGCCAGAAATCAGCACTTCTGAGCGTCCTCCTCTTTCCGCCTCTTCAGCCAGATCACTCATCTTTTCTCCTCAGCCTCCTCTCTTCCCTGCTCTGTCTCCCTCTTCTCTCCCTTCACGGCAGGTTTGGGCTATTCATTCAGACGTCAGGCTCACTCCGTCAGCCTTTTGTTGCGAGTCACAGAAAGACAGAGAGAGCGAGAGAGGGAGCGAGAGAGAGAGAGAGAGAGAGTGAGAGAGAGAGAGAGAGAGGAAGGGGTGGGGGGAGAAAAATGGTAAAAGACGAAAAAATACAGAAAAAACAAGCCGGTGCCACAGCTATGCAGAAGAAAATAAAAGAGGGAGGTAAATAAGAAAGACCAAAGAGAGGGAGCAAAAAATCCTTGAAGAGCACCAGTCACAGTGAGAGGTGCAGCGCTCCTGGCACACGTTCGACTCCCTCTTCCATTCTCTCCGACCTTCCCCTTCGCTCAACATATTTTCCTTCTTTTTTTTCCCTCCCTCCCTCCCTCCCTTTCTGTTTTATTATTTGTGATCCGGCCTTCACGGTCCTTTAAGAGTGCCAGCCCCCCCCCCTTTCTTCTCAGTCTCACTCCGTCTTGCTCACAAACTCTCCTTCGCGATCTCAGTCTGCAATTTTCATCCTCGCTCTTTAACAGGAGTTGATTGGTTTTGCCTTCCAACGAGCCATTAAGTGCGTCACTTCAAGGCTCCAACACCAGCGTTCACGTCAATACTTCATGCTTGAAAGCTGAGGTGTGCACTCACACGTGCATGCAACCAGACTGGAAGAATGGCATGCAAAGACAGGTTAAATGTTTTACTGTAGCACAAACATCTGGGGTTCAGTCCTTTGAAATAGAAAACCCTGCAGTTACAAAATGAATCCTCATATGTAACAATAACAACTCTCTGCACACCTGCTACTGAGCTCTCTGGGGGATTAAGAAAAGCAGTGTGTGTCTCAGAGTGGTGGTTGTGTGTGTACTTGCAGACACAAGCACAAAGGAGTCCTACTCGTGAACTTATGGTAACACTTAGGAAAATCCTCCCAGGAGTCTAATTGATCCTGGGATCTAAACCCAAGCAGTAACAGCAGGTTTACTACTACGCATGGTGTGAGACTTTGTCTCTGACGGACACTTTGAAAAGGATTTTGATAATGAAGGTTAAGAAGGGCTTCCGGGTCGTCGTACACAGACACAACACTGCTTTTGTGGAGGGAGAGCATGCATTCTGAAATCTGGCATTCGTTACAGTTCAGAAGTGCAACCGTGTTGATAGTCAAAGGCAAACATTTTGATTGTTCAAGCTTTTCAAAAAGTACAGATTCACTTATTTTCCTTGTAATGCATAAACGCTATTTGAATACGTCACCTCAGGATATTACAGTATGATGGACATTTTCTACAATTGTCAGATATTATAGAGCGAACAATTTATCAATTAATTAGAAAATGATAGTTGCGGCGGTAAAACCTTTGGTATTAGTGCATGACAGATATGTCAGCAGCAGTATTGTCAGATACTATAAGTGAGACATTACAGTGCATAACTGTTTTACAGGCCGCATTGTTTTATCGCTTTCTTTCTTAATTCGAATTTGAAGATCCCATCAAAGCATTTATGACTTATACAAATGTAAATTTGATTTGATATGATTTTTCCTATAAAAAGGTTTGATTACCTAATGAAAAATTAGCTCACTAAAAAAATCCCAAATCTACGATTATGCAAATGTTTTTCATAAAATAAGTGTTAGTTGCAGACCTCTGATGACTGAGTGAACAAATGAATGTGTTACTGTAAGAAACTGTAAGAAAAGTGACAAAATCAACAAACTACACCTGCAGTATCCTGCTGTATTGTGCACACTGTGTTTACTGTAGTGTACCGCGTGTATTGATCGTGAGTTCAACAGGAGTGTAGTGAGTTTAAAGGGTTCCATTGAGGAGGTTTTGTTACAACGTATAATCAGAGATCACAAACAGGGCCCGGAGTAAAAAAAAGCCTCATTCATGAAAAAGAGAGCGCTGGAGGGAGAAGAGGTCTAGGGTAAAATATGACCTCGAAAATCCACCATCCCATCTGCCTCTTCTGATCTACATGATGTGCTGTTGCCAAATGATTGAAACACGAATGCGGGCGAGAGGAGAGAGATAGATGGCACAGCTGCAGGTGGACAACAGATGTTGAGGCTTTTTTGTGTACTTTGTTTTTTCAGGGAGGCGATTGCAGCACATAGATTCTTGTTCTCCCATTCATACCCCGTCTGTGCATCGCTCCACCTCTCCAACACCATCCCTCTCCTCCACCTTTCTCTTTCTCTGTGACTTGAGCCAACTGGCCTGATTAGAGAGAGAAAGAGATGTAAAAGAGGATGTGTGTGTGTGTGTGCGTGTGTGTGTTGAGGGGATGAATGTTGGAAGGCGTTGCTTATTACACCTTTCATGTGTGCTGTAGGCTTAGTCAAATAGAGTGTGAACAGGCATCCATGAAAAATGAAACAGTGATCCATGGACAAATATGCAGACATGCACAAATGCACAGAGATACTGAGTCATCCAGCACCTGGTTGCTTTAAGTTTAGCTTCCTCAAATGTGTTGTTTTGGCCAAATATCAGAAAAGAACATTATATATATTAAGGATGAAATATGGAGTGACGGCTGCTCACACACTTACAGACACACACAAATAATCTGCCCTGTGTGAGACTAAAAACACAGTGAAACACAATCCCATTTACAGCCCTGTGTGATCCTGAACACGACTGACATGCCGACTGAGAAATGTTTCATATTTTCCTTCGGTGCAAATGAGATTCATCTGCACCTCTAAACATATCCCCCCCCCCCTCGCTTTTGTTAAAACACAGCCAAGCAAAGTGTCAAGTTCTGCAACGCCTTGTCACACACACATACACACACACACACACGTGCACACGCACACGCACACACACACACACACACACGCACACACACACACACACAGTGCATACAAAGAACATGGTCATCTTTGTCTATTCACTCTGATTTAACACCCGTGAAGATTTCATTTTCTCAAAATGAATAATTCAGGGTGACTCCCCGGTCGGCATTGAGAGGAGACGAGGAAAGGAGACGAAAGGAGAGAATATGAGATGATAGGATAGGAAAGGAAGCAAGAGGATGAAAGGAAAGGAGAGGTAGGAGGGGAGGTAGCAGGACTGAGGAGAGTAGGAGTCAGGGTCTTTACGGTTCTCATTTCACAGCTTTTATTCTCCTCTTTTTTTTTTTGAGCTACAAATGTTTTGAGCATGTGACCTCTTGTATTTGTCCTTCCTCCACCGCTGCTTCTACAACCTCCAGTTAATCACTTCAAGTCTCGCTGAAAGGATGCAGCAAACTTGCCAGAAAGAGCCTTTTCGCCTCCATGGTCAGATTTTACCTTTCAAGGTCCAGTTTGTGCTGATGGCACCAGTACAGACTAATATCTGTACTTTGTACACACAACTACATCCACAAACAAATAGACACAGACGTGCCTGGCTGACAGACGTCATTCACTCTCAGAGGGAATTGTGGAAAAATGTAACAATGACGGTTCAGGTTTACAAAGCGTTCTTTTTCCTCATAATAAAAATAAAACAAATAAAAACTTTAGGTTGTCCTCCTGCTATCCTTCCCTCCTTCACTTGCTCCAAAAGTTTCCATTCATGTAATCTCCCGTTTTACACTCCTCCACCGATTTCTAAGACTCTATCACTGCCTCTAACGCAGTCAATACTTCAATATTCAATCTAAAGCAGCCCTCTGTGCATTTAACTCCATTCCTGGGTCTTTCTGGCGCTATCTTCTCCTCTGTTCTGCTGTTTTTGGTTGGGTTCAATCACCACCCATCCTCCCACTTCCCTCGTTTCCCTAATTTTCCTGCAGACGAGCTCTGTAACCCACAACCACAGCAATGGATGAATGTGCTGAGCTGGGTATGACGTTTGTTTAGAGACATATTTCTCCCATTACCTCAACCCCCCCCCCCCACATCTCTACTCTCTTGAGTTAGGAGAGAGTCAGAGAAAAATCCTTTCCTACAAAGATTAATTTACAAAGGGAGAGGAGACAAAGAGAAACTGGGATCAATTTATACAAAGAAAATGAGTACTTAGGATTTGTATAAAGCAAATGCTGTGAATGTGACCACAGACGTTGTTCAGTCTTGAGGGGAAAGAAAATCACTGCTTGATATTAAGTGAAACATCTGGAGGTGAGAGGAACTCTGCATTGTGCCACAACAGACGCCACACCTGCCAACAGCAGCTTGCACACAGACACAAATACAAAGAACACACACGGGCTGTTTAGAGTTTGTGATGTGGGAGGATAGGATGTCCCCAATGTCCCTCAACATAGAAACACAGCAGTATCCTTGATGATTAAAAGACATGGCCATCAGCTTTAATTATCTAAACTTTGCAAATTTGGTTTGGCTCCAAATACTACGGCACCCATAAGCCTCTGCTGCTATTGCAATTGGGAACAAAATACTGCACCGTAGTCAATCAATTCATACAAATCTGACCCAGAATGAGATAATTACTTGATTATGTTTCCAAAATGAGTTCTCTCCTCTACCTTTCTATGGACCCAAGCTTGTAACTTTGTTTTTTTTATTAAACCAGATATATTCTTACACGTTTGCTCATCTTTTGTAGAAAAGATTCAACCAAAAGATTTTACACATCCAAGCCTTGGAAGTACTCCAACTGCCAGGCACTTATTATTGTATCCACACCAAGTCAACAGTACTTTGACTTACCTTTTTAATTTGACTTTCTACAGATTTAAACAGAAGAGGCTTTACATTTTCAAAAGGCACAATTACGATAATGTCTTTGTCAATCCATTGTTGCCCGCAAAACACCCCAATTTAATCCACTGGCTGCATTACTAAAGCATTACTAAAGGTTGCAGCACTGGTGAAACTATGCCAGAGTGACCAGCAGCGTAACGAAAGCAACCTTTGACTGTCAGCCCAGATTAAGGCCAAAGTTTGACCCTCAAAGTCTAAAAGCAACACTGACATCTAGCCTCATCTCCATTGAGAGTCCAAGGTTGACTGACAGCTGTCAACGCCCTGTTTCCCCTCCCCCACCATGCAAGCAATCATCATCATCTATCAGCAGCTGGTCTCTCTCTCTCTCTCTCTCTCTCTCTCTCTCTCTCTCTCTCTCTCTGTAACAACTGCCGGAAGCTCTGAGCTGGACCCAGTTAATACATAATCTGCCATCTCCAAAACTAATACGCCACAACCCTTCCCCCCCCCCACGCCCATCATCACGCTAGGCCTGAGTAAGGAGTAAGAATAGCGGCTACTGTGTCATGCGGATCAGAACTGACCTGAGCCGGCATCCGGTCGCCTAGCCAGAGTCCACGGAAGGAAGCCAACACACTCCGCAGGGTGGAGGTGAAAGAGTGGAAGTCCCACAGTATCATATATGGTGATTATGCCGGGGTGGGGGATGGGGAGGCCTAGTTAGTCATATAAAGGCGGGGTCTTGCTCAAGGGTATTCCACAAAGCATCATATACCGAGGAGGGCGGGGGCATGCCATCTGTATTTACACAAGGGCTGTTAGTTCAGAGAGACATTCTTTTTGGTTGTGGGTGCAAACTCACTGCCGTAACTAATTAATTGTCTGACGCTTTCACAATATCAGGCGCTCATAACAAATTGGATTTTAAGGAATGCAAAATGTGTTATTGCTGCAATATAATGTTATAAATTTCAATAATTTATTTAAACCGAAAGGCTAAATAGTATTTTGTCGGGTCTAAAATGTATAATTCCTTTAAAAATATGCAAGAAAATGCTTTTATTTTGCATTTATCACCCACACAAAGGATGGATATGATTAATTAATACTTTTTTCCTGATGCATTAGCTTAACCAGACATTTTGTTAAAAAGGAAGTAACATGTACATTTGCGGTGTCTTCTGACAATGGACCGACCTTTTCACTAGAGAGGCAAATCTGCCTACGATTACCACAAAAAAAAAAAAAAACACGTTGCCTAGCAACATACAATTTAGGGATATGCTTTCAGAGCAGCTTTGCGGCTGTGTCCATTAACAGATGAAATTACTAAAGCAACAAATGTCAGCCACATGCAAATGAGGTCTACTCTGCTGACTGTGTGTGTGTGTACCAACATTGCGATGCATGTGTATGTGGCAGACTTGAAGACATCCTTTCAAAAGCATGTGTCCTCCTGAGCTCGGAGCGGCAGTCTGTTTGCACAGTCAAGCCATAGGGAGTCTTTTAATATCTGCTCTTCTTAGGGCCAAAATATCATAGAGGCAAGAGAGAGCAATCGTGTGTTCCCAGTCTGCCTCGGACCCCTATTTTATTCCATTTCAACCTACTGGCAATGTGAGGTAGTTCACAGAGTCCAGCAGAAAGACAGGAAGCTGGTCTGAACAAAATGAGAATATCTGTGGATTAGTGCAGCAGTGGAAATGGAGGATCTGAAGGATTAAACCCCCCTCCTCTCTTCTCATTACAACCTGCACAGAGAAAATTACACACAATCACACATCGGCCATCGGCACTGTAATTCGATTTTATCTGTCCAGTGATGCGGCTAGTCAGCCTCTGGTGAGCAGGTGTTGATGGAGAAATCAGTCCTTATTGCCCAAAATGTCTGAAATATACTTTTATCAGGCCTTGGGAGTGAAAAGAAGATAATTTTGTTATGCGGAATTAAAGCTTTAATCTGATATGGGTAAATGATTCAGGTGATTATACAATAAGGATTCATTCAATGACTGAATTAATTTAATTTCAGACTGGATTCAAAACATGAATTTGGGACAAAAAAAAAACAGCTGGAAAAAACAACTACATAATGAAAAGTTTGCCTTTAACTCAACAGTCAGGTCAGTAGTCCACAGTGACAGCAGCAGGACTGATGGACGGCTGTGAATCCTGATTGGCTGTATAGACTTTCCAGGCTACTCTGATGCACCCACCTTATTATCATAATGCAATAAAACAACCATGCGTACAACAACAAGAGCTAGGGGGCTGTGAAGAGCAGACAGGTCTTCATCAAAAACAGCTGCAGTTACAAAGGTACCACAGCTAAAGAGCTACATACAACTAATCCTGCAACACTATGAATACTGTATAGTTGAGGCAGATTAAATGATTTAAAAAGTGGCCTGAGCTTTTGATTTTGCTCCAATTGTTCACCAAGAGAAAATATCTTTGCAAGGAGACTGTGCCAAATTCAGACACACACATTGTTCACACACGCACACACACACACACAAACGCCAGGACACAGTCAACCCTACTGCACACTATATCTGACTTTTCTGATGATAGAAGTCTTAATGTGAACTGTTCACACATGAATGCAGCGATTGACAGACTGTAACGTGAAGTCAGTGTGCAGTTGTTAAAATTTAAAAAGGTATCAGAAAGGGTGCTGACAGCTGTTCCTCCCAAACCCTCCATACTGCGCCTCATCAAGGCTGTTTTGTGTTGTATTTGATGGGGCGATATGCCATTCTGACAAAAGAACCACATGAGATTACTGAAATAATAAAGGACTTGACACAAAGTATATGGAAGTCTGACAAATCTGGCTCTCACAGAGATAAGCAGACAAGACAGCCGGATGTAAGTATCGTTTTAGGATCGTGGCAAATGTAGAAACCAAAATTAGGACAGGGAATGGATTGCCAGAATGTCTCAGTAAAAGTTATTCTTTTACGGTATTAATCATAATCCTGACAACAGCTTTAGAAAAGGGATAGTCAGCAAGCAATTTAGATTTCACTCCACTGGACTAGATGAGAAAGAAAGCCACACCATTTATCTATTGTTGATGTAATGAGAACAAACACAGGACAGCAAACAAATGACAGCACTGACCGAAAAGATAAAATGATTTACAAAAAGGGCTCACTTAATATTCTCATTGTGTTGGGGCTTTCTTAAGGTCACACATCATGCATTACACCAGCATACACATTCAGCTAAATAGATCACAAGCCCCTCAGCTGAATGATGGTTTCACAAACCAGTATACCAAAAAACCCACAAAAAACCCCACTAATTTGACAGAGATGGTATGCACACCAACGATTCATCACAATGAAGGGTGACAATACATTTCTGGTGCCCTCTTATTCTCTAAAAGCAAAGACTGCAACCCAATGCTCAAGTTGTTGCTGAATGTGCATTGGGATGCATACCCTTATATACTGAATGGCCCTTAGAAATGTTAACCAAATTGTGAAGGCATGATATGATTCTTAACAATGCAGCAGCAGCGCTTCGTGGAGCTATTCAAAGCAATGAGAGGATTTGAGAAAGGAGTCTTATATAAAGCATGGCAAAAATGAAGAGCTCAAGCACAAATCAATTTTCTTATCTATTTAAAATATGTGAAACAGCGATAAGAAAGTGCGACGAAATTTAACAATTAATCGGAAAAGAAAACATGATGAGGATGAAAGGAGAAAAAAAGGATTTACTTGTATCTGGTGACGCCATAGTGGACACGATGACTGGTGGACCCGTGCGTCGACTTAGTTTCTGGTTAACAGCCAGGGTACTTTGGCCTGGGGGTCCCATAATGACGAGAGCATTGTCCTGTGCATTTCCCCCACCCTTACGCATCATCTGAGGACTGGGGTGAGGGCTGTGCATGGGTGACAATGGCAGTACGTTCCTGTCCCTCTTCATCAGCTCCATAGGCACTGTGTAATTGGTAGAGTACGCTTTAGGGACCTGTTGTGGTGGCTGTGTTAAAGCTGGCAAGGACACAGGCATCTGCTGTGGCATACCTGAAATGGAGTGCATAGACCCTTGTATGGAAGGCATTGACCCAGTCATTTGCTGTGGCATCATCTGCATACCATGCATGGGCACCCCCCCAGAAGCATAGGCTGACATGGGTCTTGATTGAACAGGCATAAGTGCTCCAGTGTATGACCCCGGGGAGCGAGGTGGTTGACCTGGGTAGCCTCCAGAGGCTTCCATGAGGTGCTGAGATGGGGCACTATTGGGCCTCCTACCCATTACATCTCCCATCCTTGGGGAGATGGTCTGCATGCCCCCAGGGGTCTGTGGGTGCATCATTTGGGCATCCAAGGTTAAAGCCTGTGAGGGGTGCGTTGGATGATGCTGCTGCTGGTGGTGGTAGATGTCTGAGCGATGGCTAAAGCTATTGGAGCGGCCTCTCATGGGTGTCTGAGGTTGGGAGGGGGCTGGCGGAGCCTCAGTGGACCGCTTAAAGTTGTGGACCAAGCGAGACAGTACACGAGCCTGGCCGAGGTTGGGGGCGACGGTGCGGACATCATTCTCCTCCATAACAGCCAGCATGCTAGTGGAGTCAAATCCCTGGTGGATAAGTGAGGAGATGGTGCTCTCGGAGAGGCCCTCATTTCGCAGCAGGGCAAGGAACTCAGGGTCAACTGTCTTCTTGGGGTCCAAAGGCAAAAGCGTCTGTGGGGCAATGGGGGGAAGTGGAGGAAAAGGAGCAGGAAGTGGAGTGACTGGTGGAGGAGGGACTGAAGTTTGGGCCACCTGCGCAAGGGCAGGTGCAATTGGAGCAACTGCTGCGGTCTGCACTGTGGCAGGTGGAGCCATCATAGAAAGGTTAGGGTCGGAGGAAGGCATTGTAGGTGGAGGTGGCAGGGGCTGTTGCAGATGCTGCTGCAACTGTTCTTGCTGAAGTTGCTGTTGCTGTAACTGCTGTTGTTGAAGCTGTTGCTGTTGTAATTGTTGCTGTTGAAGTTGTTGCTGCTGTATTTGTTGTTGCTGAAGTTGCTGTAACTGCTGCTGTTGTATCTGTTGCTGTTGAAGTTGTTGCTGTTGTATTTGTTGTTGTTGCTGCTGTTGGATGGAGAAGGGTGAGGCGGTCTCTTGCCTCATAATCATACCTTGACTGGAAGGATCTACTACTAGACAGGTGGCACCCTGCTGCTGGGGATCCAACGGACGACCATTAATATCAGTATAGACCGTTTGACCGGTCATAGGTGGAGGCTCACTGGCATACCGAGGAGATGCATGCTCCATACCATAGTGTGTAGGAGATGGCTCCCGAGAGGGTATGCGCTGTTGGCCATCCGACGTCATTTTGGCAGCAGTTCCAGCAGTATAACTCCTAGTCATCTCATGTGCGGTTGGAGGGGGAGGGGGAGGAGGGAGAGGTGATGTAGGGGCTTGCGGTCCTGCTCTTCCTCCCTGACCTTGATCCCACACAGCACGAGCCCCAGGTGCCATCCCAAAATGAGAGCCAGACCTACTGAGTGGGTGCGGGTGAGGTGGCGGAGGCTGGTAAAAGCCCTCGGGTGGCCGAGGAGTCATGGCCGGGTCATGGGAATAGTAATCCTGATGCGAAATGGATCCTCGATGAGCCATGGGCGCTCGTTCGTAATTGTTTAGATCAGGAACAGAGCCCTTCCTCAGCCCCCGTGGGTCCTGTCGCTCTGCGTAAACCTGTCCGTACAGAGAGTCTTGGCAGGAATACGGGTTGCGTTTCAAATCCAGGTCAGGGGGATGCACTCCTGGTGGAGGTTCGTACCACCCTCCTCCCTCTCCGTATGACAGAGAGTTCCGCCGGCCGGCTACTCTTGCCTGCTGCTCGTAGACACTCTCAGTCCTGTCCCACTGACCCTCATTCCCCCCTAATGTGTCCCAACTGTGGGAGCGACCAAGACTCAACTGTTTGTTAGGGACAAGCATTGGCAAAAAAGGAAAATGTAGAGAAAAAGATTACGGAGGAAAAGTAAAAAGGCACAAAACAGAAGAAAATGTTCCGCTTCTACCTGTTTGTGAGAGTTGTCTTTCAAGTCTTCTTGTACAGTAGCACCAAAAAATGAAGCTGTGTCTACCGTTTCACCTGATATCGGGTTGTAATATTGTAAGTCCGCGCTATCAGGTGACTCCCCCTTTGGCTGTCCGTCCTTGAATAATTAATCACTGGTCATGCTGCCTTGTTGCGCGTGAGGAAAGAGGACACCACACACAAACACATTACACAAAACCACACAGACACAGCACAATGCAAAGGTAGCACAGCTACTCCATGAAAGACATGGTAGCAGGCTGCATGCTTGAGATGGCCACCAAACGCTGATTAAAAAAAGACAAAAAAATGAAAGGAGTGGATAGGTTGGGTTATAGGTTGGGATGGGCAGGGGCTTGTACTAATCCAGTAGGGTTTATCTCTCACTTCTCCGGGACGTTTTGCTATGAGGGATTACAACTGAATAAATCCCGTTTAATTCCACTTCCCACTGTGACGTCATGTGAACCAGATAAAAGCGTATCTGGTGATGATGATGATATGATGATGATGGCAATGATTAAGAGTCCACCCTCAAAACCCTTACCCCGTCTTGAAGAGTCACCTACCTGAAGCTGTTGATGATGCACTGTCGTCAACAGGTTTCAGTATCTAGATTCTCAGCGCGGGGAGGGGAGGCCAGACAGGGTGCCGGCTTCATTGAATACAAATGAAATACAGTTCTCTCAGCTAAGTCCCATGTGCTGTCAGTAAACATCAAATCCACTCTGATTGGACACTAATCCTCCAGGCCCCATGCTTGCAGTAGAGCCACCACGCAACTGCTGCCCAACTCTGAAATGTCCTTGATGCCTTTGTGGCGCACACAGTCACTGCCCCACTCTGCTAAATATGAGATCACCACAGACCTGCTGTTTGTATGTTAACTGAAGGACATTCAGACTGCAGAATGCATAACCAAATCTACCTAAAATGTTTGTCTTATTTGCCCTCACAATGATTGTCATTTCAAGCAATATTACCATCCTCAATATTACCATCTGTCATGTAGAGTACAAAGTGTTAAATGAAGGCCATGTGCAGAATCCAAATAGTTTTATTTGGCCATTACATGATTTCTAACCATATGCATCTTACTGTCTTACTGCACCTTCCCCCATCTTTCCTAAAGCTACTCTGATCTCCTCCACTTAGAAAAGCTCTGTAATCTGGATTTGGCCCTTTGCAGAGAAAAGTAAAACCCTAGGGGAGTGTGTGGTGTGTGTGTGTGTGTGTGTGTGTGTGTGGAAGCAGGGGGAGGTTTTCTAACAGCATTTAATCCAAAGCACCTACAACCTTTGCCTTACAAACATACTTTTTGAGCTGCAACACAACACAAGTTAATTGTACTTCATTCAAGTATGAAATTGTCTCGTGGAAGAAGCTCTTTGCACTATGCTGCAGCATTTTATATTATGTTTGGCCATAAGCAAACATGATGATTCATCATTTTGTTTAACCAAGGTGATGTTCAACATAGGACGCTGAAGGTGTTCCTGCTTACCTAGCTGCCTGCATGTCTCACTTCATGTCACTGTGGCTGAAACCTGATTCCTTGTGCAGAGGATCCCAGTTTATTAATGCATGAAAACAGATGTAAGGTGAGGAAGTGTCCGTTTCCATCCAAATCTAATCTCAGAGCGAGGCGGATTAGTAATACATATTTTAGACTGTGAAGGAAGTCTTTTTAATTACTGTCTCAGCATATTGAGAAAAGTTCCTGAATATCTTAGTGCCTGTGGAAACTGTGCAGGCATGTCGGTTGTCGACATCTATATCTTGTTTAATCAGAGTTATGAAATTAAAGTAGGAAGAGATCAGACGCGGAGCGGAGTATTCTGCTACTTTCAGAAGATGACGGGAGAAAGCTGATGACAGGGGCTCCAAAATCTGTTGCAAACAGTTGACTGACAACTTTTTTTTTTTTCTTTTGGTAAGGTGAAAGGAACATTTGTCAGCTTGATGTTAAAAGGTAATTAAAATGGGAAGGTGAGGAGGCAAGAGCTCTCACAGAGATCAAAAACCGATTGTAAAGATGAATTAAGCGGAGAGTTGGAAAGAAAACCCATTTACATTCATCAGAATAAAGCTATTATAAAGTCAGTCACATTTTACAGCCATTTCAAGTATGGGTGTCACCTGTCACCTAAAGGCACACAGTCTATCCTGTTTTTTATTTGAATCATCTGCAATATAGAAACTAATTTCCTTGTCAAAATCCTTTGGAAAAGCCAAACTTCATGTATATCAGTTTTAATTGAAAAGCTCATATCATTGCAAGGTTGGCAATCTCTTTTAGCCTTGAGACTTGAAACTATAGCTGCTTAGATTTAGGAAGAAAATGTTCAGAGCCAATATATGCAAACACATAGACACACATCCATGTCAAGGGCAACATGCTATAGAGTATTTGTGATCCCTTGGCTTCCCCAACCTCATCCACTCCACTCATTACTTCTTCTAGCCCGGCTCTCAAGAGACTGTAGCTTTCAGTGTGCTGCACTCATCACTCATCTCTCATCTTCCCCCCCCCAAACTCAACCTCAAACAGAGCGACAGGAGCAGAGTGTGTACTCAGGGTTTGCCGGTCTAATCCTGACAGAAAATGTAAATCACAGAGTTCTGTTTGCCTCAAACTAAACAATGTTTGACTTTCAAATTCTAATGTTCCTCCATTTGCCATACATGCCAGACTGTGCACACAACGCCAGATTCACTGTAACAGAGGGATTTAGGAATTAAGCCGGGGATTTTAGAACAAATATAATACCACCGCAGCAGAAGCTTATGAAGACCTTACATTGAATAAGACTTGACTGGTGAAAAATGTGAGTAAAACTTTTTAGATGGAGTAAATGAACCTCGAGTGAAGATGCAATTTGGTAGCTCAGGGCTCTTTCAACAGCTAATAGATTTCAGAAAACTCTACTCTAGCCTGGTGTAGTGTACTACTTTTGCTTTTGAATCTCAGTGTTGGAGAAAATTGCATTGAGCAGCAAGTAACAAGACAAACATGATGTACAACAGTGAGATCTGTGGCTAACCTTTCACACAAGACGCTTGCCATTGTTTAATAAACACTCCGCAACTCAATGTCACTCAACCCTCTCAGTCCCTGCCTCCACATTAACATCACAGCCGAGCCAGCAGGGGAACGGGACGTCGATCACTTTACGTGTGCGCTCCTGGGTGCATGTTTTAACTATGTCAAATGTTTGCATGCCTTGCCAACAATCCCATTTAGAAGCTGTCCATCCACCGACTCAAACTCACACACACGCTCGGCTTGCACGATCATGGATCCCCCACTCCACCTTTTTGACCCGGTTCTGCTCGTCTTGTGACGTGCAGCAGTGACAGCGGCCCTCAGCGCTTCGTTAATGTCCCTTTCATTCACACACGCAAAGCGCCGCTAAAGCCTTGGCCTCGGTCTGACGTGCATACATGAATAATCATGCCAACTCAAAGTGAATGCTGCACTGCAACAGAAATAAAAACAACTGTCTCCTACAGTGTGACACGTCACGTATACTCAAGGCATTATTTGAATGTTAAACACACATTGATTTATGCATGCGCGTGGGGCAGGAGGCACGAACTGGAAATGGGATTACAATGCCAGTTCGGTCGCAAAGAGCGCTGTCAGATGAATTGTAATGCACACTTAACAGACACGACATGGCTGCCTTGCATGTGTTTCCAGTGGGATTATTTGTCGAAAGCATCTCCATAGGGACTAAATGGACTGTAAAATGGAGGTTGATGGCTATGAGGCTAGTACTTATCTAAATGACAATCACATACTCAGTTAGAGTAACATTCTGAATTGATATACAGTTTATTATTTTCCTAGTATACATGCACCACATAAACAGCAAGAACAGCCCAAAAATTCTCCCAAATTTCCTCAATGTCAACAATGTAGAGATCCATCTATCCATCTCCTTTTGAACGCTTTGTCGCCGACCCATCTTTCATTCAATCTCCAGCCCGATCCAGGGAAGACACGGGTCATTTAAATACTTGGCGTCGTAGCTGAAGAATTCATTTTGAAACTTGATTTTTCCAGGAACTCATTTCCAACTTTCAATAACAGCAAAGCTACATACCAGCTCGAACAGAGGCAAATACAGACACTGAGTAGAGAAGCGAAACCGTACCAGAACATTGCATTCAGGTGTGCACAAGAGAGTCACACTTTAATGATAATAATAATAACACAATCACACATGCCAGTTTGCAGCAAATTATTATAAGAATTTCCTTCTACCATTTTTCATCTGCTCTTCTCCTTTCTCCCCCCCCCAGTTCTCCATGCCCCTCCCTGCCTCTCCACAAAGCCTATAAAGGGGTCGCGGGTTTTGGTGTGGAGCCCGGAACAAGCCCTAGGGGGGGTCAGGCCCAGAGAGCGCTCCGATGACTTCATGCTAGAACTGGATGCCAGAGCGTAGGGAGACGAGTGGGAGGGAGGGACGAAAGCAAAGAGGTGGATGCAGCAAAGCCCTGAATCTGTGCTGAAAAAGCTCTGGATACGAACCCCCCCTCCTTGCAGGAGAGGATGACATCAGGACACCCCCCCCCCCCCCCTCCCTCCCTTTTCCTCCACAGCCTCCCTGATTGTCGTCTCTCGCAGGTCCCTTAAATGTGAGACTATGAATAATTCACAGACTAAGTTTTACAGTATTTTTGCTTGACTGGCCACATTATTTATTGTTCACTGTTTAAACATCTCCTCTTGTTGTGCACATGACAAAACAAGATTATCAAGGATTAACATATTTATTTAACTGCCAACTAAAACACTTGGACTCGCCATGACAAATTCCACTACCCCACCTTGTGGTGTTTGCGTCCAAGCACAGATTTACAACTTGTAAATCAACATTCAGGAACATGCTGTTACTGCGACCTAGTTCACGTCGCACTGCCGCTCACATCCCGTCTCTGCCCAGATCAGTCAGTTAGCTCTGGCTAAACGGCAATGGCAACGACTCGCGCGGCTGCCCAAGCCAATGCATGCTGGGTACACAGATGGAGCGGACAGAAGGAGAAACGGAGAGGGAGAGAGGGAGAGAGAGAAAAAGGGTGGGGAATGAGAGAGAGAGAGAGTATGGGAACTGATGCTCACAACAGATGTTTGCCACATTTACCTTATTGCAGTTACACTCTTCTTGGCACTTTATCAAAGCCACAACAGAAGGAGCAATTGTACCATATACATTTTGAAAGCTGATATCTAAACCAAACAACGCTGTTATTTACTATTTACCATAGTTTTAGCAGAGGTGAGCCCCCCATCAGAAACAATATATACATAGGACTGTTTATATTTTATACTTATATTTGTTAATAGGGAAAAATGTCCAACGTAATATCGTCAAAATGCTTCATTCATTTTGAGTCGAAAACTCCAAAGATAATTAGATGAACTAGCCGGGGATAATTCCATGATGTTTAATAAAAGTGGTTATTGTTTGGGCTGTGCTCTCCTAACAAAAGTGATCACGAGACATGATGCTTCCAGAGCCGGGGGTTTTATCAGCTCGGCTAAAACAATTTCTTCGGGGAAAATCCTGATTTGATTATCGATTAACTGTCAAAAGTAATTCATCAGGCAAAAAAAAAAGCCAAACATTCTTTGTTTCCTGCTTAGTTTTGACCTTGCGGGTCTAATTTGAAAACCACAAAAATCCAACATGAAAGCAAAGGACAGTGAATCACATGACATATCCTCAGTGGTAAAAAAAAAAAAAAACGCAGCCACCGTTCCGGTCAAATCTACATTCCTGCACCGTGACTACTTTTGATTGGAGTAAACAGCTACACTTAATCAGCCATTTGGAATTGGATTTAGGCCACAGGCGTCGCTCAGTTAGCCACTCATCACAATGAGTAAAGATGTAATCAATGCACTCCGCTGTGAAACAAGTATTGGATTGACACACTTATCCTCTGAAGATAAATAGGAGATTAGAGAAGCTCCTCTCGCTGTCTCGCCGTGTGCAACCCACGACGGCAACGCAATCACAATCACTTCATAACGTTCTTGTTTTTGTCAATACACACAACGCGAACGTTGATTTCTATTACACGCTTCGGTCCCAACACTCTGTTTATAGACAATAGTGGGTGGCTTTGACATTATGGGGCAGAACACCCCATGCCTCTGGTTTTGAAATACCCTTTTTATATGGTTGAGCAGATTTAACGCTACTGTGAAAACAGCATGATTCACCACCCTCTGATCTTTTAGCTTCCTAGATGTGAATCACCCTCCTCTACATATTTTTAAGAGCAGCTGTGATGACTAACTGCAGCAGGGGGAAAAAAAAAAATCCCTCCTCGTCTTTGGTATAGAATGACTTCATTGTTGATAAGCAGAGGAGACATGGATGTCTGTGGGGACAAATGTGGCGGATCAGAAAATATTATAATATGATATTTAGCATGTTGCAGACAGGACACAGTCATTCTAAAGAAAATGGGGAAAAAGTGTTTCCAAGCAAGCAGGCTTGGTGGTTTGGAGAGGTTTGAGATGCCACATGTGGCTCTCATTCTGAGGGTGGAAACATACAGCATCACTGCTTCATTATACTGTGTTTCTCAATCTCAACGTGATTTTTTCCTTCGACATGAGCGAAGAGGAATGTTGATACGTGCTACTCTGTAGTTTTAATCCTTTGGTTTTGCTCATAGAGAGCTGAAGTGAAACTGTAACGTCTATGTTTGGTTTACATAAAGTAAGAAGTCGCGGTTACGCCCACGAGACGCAGCTGGAGACGCAGAGCCTGCACAGAGCCGGGTGTAGACAACTGCATAGATTAACAAGAGAGTGTAGCTGTTGTGTCAGACGGGTGGGTGAAAAACGCGTCCGATATGCGGTTTAGACACGGGGTACGTTTTTTCTTTATAAGATTCTCAGTTGAAATGAAGCATCACGTTAGTTCGCGCAGGACACGGAAGTCATAGGCCCCAGCTGCAATCAGCTGACAGCTTCCAATCAGTCACACACACCAATCACAGCCCATTATCACTACGAGGTGGGCCATTCAAATATGACTCCCTCCTCACTTAAACCCTACCAATGCTGCTACACTCACACTCTTGTATACCCATGGGAGGTTTGCTGCATTGCGCTCCCTGTTTCGGTTTAGCATCCTGCTTGGCTAATCCAGGGAGCATCTTCAGAGCGAAGCAATCAGTGGCAAGCATAATTGTATATTTGTTACAATAAATGGTCAATTCTATGATGTAGTAGGTGTTCCTGACTAAAGTAGAGATAGTAAACCACAGATATATACGTTTCGGTTTCCCACAAAGGTAGATGAATGAAACCCTTCATGAGAGTCTGACAATTATAGAAGCTAGAGGAACAGCAGCTAGCGGCTATACCCACATTACAAAATGTAATCTTGCACAATACAGTAGAGCAGGATGAGTATGATTTTGGACATGCAAATACTTCTGACGGTGGTAAGGGGAAATATTAAGAGAGTAAAAACTTCAGGAAAATCTCCTTTTGACAAAGCACATAAATGCGCGCACACACACACACACACACACACACATACACACACCCACACACACACTCTCCTAGACAGCCTTCAAAGCTGAAGTTTGGTAGTCCGGTCCCAAGGCTCCCTTTTGACACACACAAACACACTTATGCAAACGAACCCACTGGCTTTTTACTGAATTTGTAGCAGCGGGCTGAAAGGCTTGAATACTGGTGGAAACTTCATTTCCATATAACAGCGGAGGGAATCTTTTTTTATAGCTTAAATAAACCTGTGGAACTTATACTCAAATTTACATGTACACACATAAAGACACAAGCATCCCACACAAACTACATAATCAATTTTTCCAGTGGTCTGCGAATGTGTAGCCACCATCTCAAATCCAAATGTACATAAAAAGCAGAAAGAAGAGGAAGAAAGAGGAGTTAAATGAGACTCACCCTCACAGATCTTGTCCAGACGCTGGCGTTTCACTTTATGTTTGTCGACCAGAGCCATCCCCGAGTCAAATGCTCTCTACTCTCTGGATTTTTGTATCCACTTCTCGCCTCCTTAAAGTCTAAAATGCTCCAATCCTCCAGACGTTAACTAGCTGATGTTTTAAACCTGAAATTCAAGGCAGAGGGACAAAGATTATTACCGAAAGCCAGTCTGACAGTGACGTACAGTATCAAATGTGAATATTGCGGCTTTGATTTTTATGTATATCATTGGAATTTGTTGGATTTGAGGGTATTTGTGTTCTTATTCACTATTTTGTAAGGGACCATGTACTGTACAGTATTTAATGTAAATATTGTCATATAAAAGAAGTGTATGATGTGCAAATTAAAGACGATGGAAAGTGTGCACAATACAAAACAAATGCAATCAGCGGCTACAGGGTTGGGTTACTTTTAGCTAAATCTTTGATTTGTCTTTAAAGCTGCTGACAGAACTGTTTTCATCATGTGGTAGATAAGTCCATTGAGTTGTGGCTTCTAACATCATGCTCAGTGAGAAGCTGAATAGTTTGATAACGTTCAGTCAATACTGATCGTGGCTTTGGCTTTCTGAAAGTGCATCACAAGGAAAACAAAAAGAATTGTCACCGGACAGCGATCACGCACAGCTGTCTCCACCTCAAACCTCTCAAAAGTCAGACGTTTACCTTGCAGAAAACGTGACTCTCCACTAGAGGGAGCCTCATCTCAGTGAGCACTATTTATCTAATTTAATGAGGAAATGTCACTTCTGCAACCAGAGCCGTCCAAAATGAGTGGAACACAGCGAGGACCAGACAAACACACAGAGTGAGTGAGTAAATGAGGCGTTTTACGAATCATTTATGTTCAGCGACTGATGCTTCTTTAGAGAGCAATCTTCTAATTGGTTCCTGCAGAAGCCTGAGGGACGCGGCACCGTTTTTCTGAGGGGGGAGGAAGCAGACAGAGATAGACAGAGGAGTGCACAAGAATATACACACACACACACACACACACACACACACACAAGATGACAAGCAAAAATGTAGGCTTGCGCGCGCACACACACACACACACACACTAAGGGTAGCGAGTCAAACAGAGGAATGTGGGTCAGTTAGTCAGCAGACGAGAGGAGGTTGTATCAGCAGAATAAAGACATAAAAGGGGGTTGGTGGGAGGGAGTGGAAAGTACTAGAAAAACATGGGCTAACAGGATGAGTACAGTTTGACACCATCCTCCTACATTTTAACTGTATCTTTTTCAGCACTTTCGTATTCATAACCCCACCACTGTGTATATCTATATTCGCCCCTGGACCTAATCCTAGAGTGCTGCACTTTGAGAACGGCTCACACTAGAGTATTTATACCATGATATATATTGATATTTGCGCTGTGACTGCAATTATAACTGTAATGTTTTGGTGGGGTGGAGGGCAGGCTAAGCAATATATGGCTGAATTATGAATCGATGATGCATTGTTATTCGGCCAGCTGTTGGGAGGTGGTGCACTGCAGTTGTGTGGACTTAAAAGTTTGAAGATGTAAGCGTTAACATTTCGTTTGCATC